GTTCTCGCCATTTGAAAGAACTGCAGCAAATTATGTTGAACATCCGATTTGTATCGCAACAAATATACCCAAACACCACAAGTGAAATCATCCACAATTGTCAAAAATTAATGGGCACCACTCAAATATGTAATCTTATAACCTCCCCATGAATCCACATGAATTAACTCAAAACTGGCCATAGTCTTAATCATGCTAGACTGAAAAGGAAGACGAGACTGTGTTGCCCTAGAACATTAATGACAGGGGCCTTTGTTTTTTTTATGGGCAATATTAAAAATTTCATTAAGCTCTTATGCACCAACTTGGAAAATGAAGTGCATTCTAGGTCTTTACTTTTTGTCTACAGAATTCTGCAATTTACACAGAAACACTAACTGCTATTGACAACTAGAAACATTCACCAAGTTTTACGAAAATACATTCTGACAAGCTGAATCTAATCCCAGATTGCCCATTCTTGCCAATTTAATTAATCTTCGGACAACACGAACCACTTCATTACACAAGACAGCTTGACCACCATGGATTCTCGAGCACCTTTCTCTCCATATCATACTGACTACCACATTTCATACCAGTCGACCACCTAGAGCACATTCTTTCTTCCCTTTGAACTGTTGAACAACCCAAACACAATAAATGAAAATAAAGGAACGACAATAAATGACCAACATATGGTTGCTTATCTGGCACAGGGTGTCCCAATCGTGCATGTCAGTTGAATGATTTCATCGACTTCTTCTGTTGAACCGTGCAAGCCTGTACCTTGCCAGCTCCAAACAAACGCAGGTAATATAACCCATCTCGAAGTTCACCCTACCCAATAAATTTCTTGAAGCGTAAGCCTGAATGATGCAAAAACCATTAAGGAATATCAAGGCCATATTGTTATCCTTCATCAATCTAATCACAGAAACCAAATTGCACTAAAACTCTGGCATATGGAAGACTCGGATCAAACGGAATCCAGGCTGGAGAACTACCAAACCCACATGTTTTACCTGAATGCTCTCACCATTAGGAATCTGTAATGGTTGATTGCTAAATTGAGTCTCCTTATCCGACAATAAATACTCATTCATGGTAATATGCTCATTACACCCCAAATCAATTAACCACTCGGTAGTGCTAGAGAAATTACTTGACATATGAGATCTCGGGTCATGATCATTGGCTCCCTTATCTGGTAGGCAGAAAAATGTTTGAGCTAGTTCCCCATATCCTCCAAAGAACCAAGGAGGATCTGCAGTTAGGGATGGAAGTTTGGTATCGGTATTTGGGATATACCGAATACCGTACCGAATTTGTCTATATTTGGTATTACCGAATACACGTATTATTTCTTGGGATTGGGATTCAATTTCAATTGTAATTCAGCATTAGGGATTACGGGATTGGGATCGGTATATACCGAAATACCGATAAGTACCGAAATATAAGCTATTGTGTATTTTATCCTCTCAACTAGACTCTCTCATTCACTACTACACAAACCCTCAACCACCAAGAGTGTCATTTAATTATACATATATCATTTCATCTTTGTTCACAACTCAAAAGTCCACATCCAACTCAATTTTGACTTTCCAATTTAAGTCACTCTCATCTCTCATCTCTCACCTAATAACTTGTTATTTTAATAACACCAAAAATCAAACACTAGTATTAGTCGACTCTCAGCTTTCAATTCGTCAAATTAAAGATTACCAATGACAAGAACTTGAGATGTCACCTCTCCTTCATTCTCATTATCCATATCATAGCTCTAGGAAAACTCAAGACTCTTTGCGTAGTCTCTTTGCCCTAAATTAAACAATCAAATCTAGTTTATATATTTAATTATTTATTTCAAATATAATTAATTTCGTATTCGATAATACCAATTGGGATACCGAAGTACCAATTGGGATACCGGAATATTTAGGGATTGGGATACCGAAACTATTTAGGGATTGGGATTGGGATTGACTTTCAGGTATAATTCGCTATTCGAGATTTTGGTATTCGGGATTGGGATACCGATACTGTACCGATTTCCACCCCTATCTGCAGCCATGCATAGCTAATCAAGTCATTCGACTTTTTGGGGGAATAACACTCCTCCAATGATGTCGATGAGGTAGACACAAGCATAGATCTCTTTGTCTCTCTCATCACTATCCTCGGGGAGGGGGATGACATTCTCCTCAGGGTTGTGCTTCCTCTTAATTTGCGTTGTCAACCAAGTGATTGATACTTGGTACTTCCTCAATGGTGGTTTTCCATCTTCCGCAATGCCACCTTCCGACTTGTTTGGCACGAACAGGCCCATAACACTCTGGAGCAAATATTGCCAACCATTCAGACCATCGACATGTGAAGTTGGTGGATGATTGTTCACACACACCGCATCACCATCAATGGGCAAATGCGTTAGGATGATGATGTCCTTTAATGTGATGGTGTACTCTACTTCACGAAAGTTGAAGTTGTGTGTCTCCTTGCGTTATCTCTCCACCAATGACGTGATGAGTTGAACGTCAATCTTGGTGGCGACAAAGTGCCTCATCGTCTCCAACCTTTCTCTTTTGTGATAGGGCAAGATAACGGCGTTATATGGGAGGACATTGCTCTTACCCCGATAGCGGATAATATGGTGCACACTCTACAACCATAAGTTTATGATTTATTACAATATAGATCTATTACACCAAACAATTTATAATTAACAATGAATACCATTTGCAAGATATACACATAAATTTGTCATAACAAACATATTCAATTACCTAAAACGAATAGCATTTGAAAGATATACACATAAATCAATTATACTAAACAATTGAAACTAACAAAATGAATACCATAGATATTTTGAAAGATATACACATAAACATAATCATAAATCCATTATACTATTTTGTAAATTGTATTGGTTGTTTTAAATGATTTAAGCCAATACACAAGTACACTCGTTATACTCTTAGGAGATGTATACATCTCCTTAGAAACACAACCTTTTTTTACAAGAAAAGGGGGGATTCGAGTATTGCTTAAGACCCGATTTTCTCAAGTGATGGAAGGATCATGATGATCGCTTAAGACCCCATTTCCTTAAGCATGCATCTCTATAAAGAGTCTAAGTAAGTGTCACACTTTATTAGCCCAAATCATTGAAAATAATCAATACGATTAACCATTACAAAATAATTTTATAAAACACTAATTATGTTAACAAAATAAAATATGACAAAAATTGAAGAATTATATGTGCCGCCAAATCATTCCAAACATCCCTTGAACGATGGTTAGGTTGGTTGTATATAACACTTCCATCATGAGGTCCTTGGTCAAGATAATACCTTTGATCATAAATATCAACGTCCGGATCAACCTACAATAGCAAAACAAAAAAAAATTAATTAGTATATAGATTAATTAACAAGAATTATAAGAACAAAAAAAGAGTAGAATGAGTACGTACCGCTAGATAGTCATCATAATAAATACCCTCTTGACCACAAAGCTTCGACGGGTTTTGTGGTCCATTTTTTAAGGAAAGTGAACAAAGCTTCGACGGGTTTTGGAGGAAAATACCTAAGAAATATTTTCTGATGGCAGTTCGGACTTAGCTGCAACCAGTTGACCACAAATTCTGAAGTTTTGGGTGGAGTGGGGATGAGCTGAGAGAAAATCTTAGAGAGATAGAAGGGTTGGTTTTGGTATGAAGCAAATGGAGGGGGAGGGTGCATGGTTTATATAGGAGATGGATTGTGCGGTGGGTAGGGGGAGAGGTGGGTTTGGGGCAGTTTGATCATTTAAACCAAACAAAACTCACGTGTCCCGCCAAAGGAATTATGTTCTCAAACACAAACTGCATGGGTGGAGGTGCGGTTTCTGCCTCCAAAACGCGGACCGCTGACCTGGCACGCAGTCCGTTGTCAGGTAGTGGGATGATCCGACAACTAGTGAGACTGCCACGTGCCAGCTCGGTTAGTGGCTGCCGACATACAAATTGCGCCCCCAACGGTTTGTATGTTAACCGTGGCACCCCCTACAGTTTGTATCAAATGGCGGTAAGAATGACATGTTTTTGAACAGGGTGGTATTTTGGGGATTATTTAATTTTTGGGTATTAATTTTGAAAAAAATCCGGAGTTTTGGAGAGTGGGAACATATGGTCACCTGAGACACGTTTTCCTCGTTTGGGACCTTATTTTATGGGGCAAAATATGTTCCAATGTAATTCTTATCTCAGTCAGTAAATTCATGTACATGAAACAAAACTTGTAAAAGTTATTGCTTATGACGAGGAAGAGGTTAAAATTAATATTGTGCCTGCCTACACAATACAACCAAAGCAAAGTTGATGAAATCAGAATCTCCTCTCTTGGTTATTTCTATTTTCCTATTTGTTTTTTGGTTCATTGGCTCTCCCTAAGTGCCAACTGCATGACATTATACACATGGTACTGTACAGAGCTTTTTCCAGCCCAAAGCTAGGGGAATATATATTAAATAAGGGGTCGTTTGGATGGGTTAATTGTCAACGTGGTATTTGTAGAGTCAAATAACTCATTTATTATTCATGTGATATTTCAGTGTTATTTCAATGGTAATTGAAATAAAGTATCTCGTTTGGTTGAACCATGCAAATGTGGCATTCGACATGTGGTATTTGGTAAAAGCAGAGTGATAAAACGAGTTATTTCGAAATAACACATGTGTATAAGTTATTTCGAATAACACGTTTTGAGTTATTTGTAAATAACTCACTGTCCAAATAACTCATTTCAATAAAACGTTACCAAACGAATTATTTGTGCCCAAATAACTCATACAAATACTCTATCCAAACAACTCCTAACTTATTTCCCATGTTTGTGGCAATTACAAAGTTCATCTTGCTCTCTTGCTGCTTTCCAACTCTTTTCTTTCTAATTCCTTTCCATTCTCTAGTTTCTTTCTTTGTCCTTTTTTCAAGTACTGCAACTCACTACCCACCAACTATTTTGGAATTTTTAGCAAGGATCTTATTGGACCGAGACCGACGTGATGCTGCCAAGCTGACTCCAGGCCCACGTCGTGCACATGCAGCCCATGCAGAGACAAGGCCCATGGGCGACTCCTCTAGCTCATATCTTCACGTTGTAACCCTAGATAATTTCGATGTAACAGGGTATAAGAATATGGCTTGTACTATCAAGCCGACTATCAATAAAACGTAGAAGCAAATTCCCCGTGGATGTAAGCCTCACACAACATGAGGAAGAACCACGTAAACCGAGTCTCGATTTATCTTTCTTTCACATTTTACAGATCTCACAGTTGAGTTTTGTTACTCCTCATTGAAAACAAACATTTGAGTCTAGAGCTATTGTTTGTTGTGTCAAAGCCCATATCCAAAATGGCTTTGTTTGGAATTGGAGATTTGGCTCCCAATTATCTAACTTACCACACTGAAAGTCCTTTTCTTTCACTCAGCACAAGAAAAAGCGAGTTCTACAACTCGAGGCCTTCTGGTTGAAACAAAAAATGAAGGAATCAGAACTATTTTTTCCCCATGTACTAGAACAACTCTATAGAACTGGTTATGGGGGTGAAGAGGTAAAGCAACTAGTTGGCATCTGAGATGACAGAAGAGGCAGAGATAGAAGCAGTAGGGCTGGCAACATCCCTCTCCACACTTCCAAAGTTTCCTTTCCCCGTCAACATTTTGATTGCTATCTGAGAGACCTCATTGAACCAATCTTCCTCGGGCAACACACTGCCAAAGGGAGGAGAAAAAATCATTCATCAGTGATTTACCAATTCCCTAATCATGTCTTGGCAAGTGAAATGAACAGATATTTTACCTGTATGGATCGACACCGGTAGCAGCAGCAGCATCGATTGCTCTTGCTATGATGTCCTTAATGACTTGGTGTAGACTTCTGGATAAGTAACGACCTTGGGATGCAAAGATCAACACAAACTCCATGTCCAAATATAACTGCAGCAAGAGGGGAAGTGAAAAAAAGAAAGCTTTTGAAATTTATAGGTTACCAGAAATACCTTGGGAAGTAGGTATTACCTGTTGAAGGCCGAAAGGTCCTAAAGGTTTGGCTCCCTGCTCAATCTCTTCCCAAAATGCTTGATCATCAGAGAGCCAAAGGATTATAGTCTCCATGAGTCTCATCAATAGAACAGTTGCAAACCTTTCCCTACCCACAAATACATCTGTTGCTATGCTTGCCAACGTAGTAATTTTTGTGAACACAAGCTGATCAATTTTTGCAGATTGATAAAAAAAAATTTGTTAGGCATATATCATTTAGAAACCCAATGGAGGAAAGACCATGTGGAATTCAACAACAACAAAAAAAAAAAAAACATGTGCTTCTTGTTAATCTTAGATTGAATGTACCTGAAAAATTGGAGATGGAAACCATTCTGGCTCTTCAGTGTGATCATCCATACTAGTGTAGATGTGTGCATTCAGATTGGTGTCACCTTCGTCTGTAAATATAAGCTCCAGTGCGTGTAATCTGCAGAAGCTATCTCTTAATCGATCGACGGAGCGTTGAAGCTTCCTCTTCCATTCCCTTTGCTCTGGGAGATGAGATGGCCTTTCGGATCCCCTCTTGGATTGTTGTTGTTGTTGTTCATCCACTTTGTTGTTGGAGGATGACAGAAGCTTCATGGCAGCACGTGGTAGTAGTTCATCTGCCAACAATGACGCATTTGCTAGTAATGCAAACTGTTGGATTTCAGTCTCTGCTGGCTGAACAATCCTGCCACAACCTTCCAAGTGATCTTCAGTCTCCGTCGAACCTGGCAATGCTTGGATTAACAAATCGACGTACGAGTTGAAGGCGCGTTGAACGCCTTCCAATGCCGGTCCATCCAAATGAAGGCACTCCAAAGGCACTATGTCCTCCAGGAATTCCTAAGAAGAAACTTCCAACAGTCATTTCTTACAAGCAGAAGAAATCTGTTTTGGGACAACCAAAAAAAAAAAAAACAAGAGAAATTGGTGATCACCTGAGCCATTGAGTTGAATTTGTTGGCACTGGATGAGAGCTTAGGTTGTGATCCAACCGAGTTACTAGCAGCGGAAGAAGACATAGACTTTCCATTCGCAGGTGAAAAGGATAACACCCAATCATCCGAAACAGCCAATGCAGTAGTGCTATGCTCAATCTTCTTCAAATTCGAATGGAATGCCTGCTCGACGCTCGACCTAAAGATTCTCAACAGAACAGGAGAAAGTGCAAGTCCCTGAGCTTCAAGCAACGAACAATGTCCCAAACACACTTGCAAACAATCCGCAGCAACTCGAAGACCACCGGTAGCAGCAGAGGAAGCCAGAACATGCCTCTTGAGAAGAAGAGCAAACGCCTCGGTTTGCTTGACAGCCCAAGTCACAAGCTCAGATGTATAAGCAGGCTCATCCCCAAACACAGACATGCAATCACTAGCTGCCCGAGCTATCGTGGAGAAAACAAACTGCGAAAGCACGGTCGCATAAGTTCCTCCGCCTCCATGCGAGCTGTTGCAGGAGCGAATGTTCCTCATGGAAGACTGCAACTTCTTCTGGTGGTACTGAAGAAGCAACGTGTGAGCACGAGGGCCATCCCCGAGCCTCTTGAGAGCTTGAACAGCGGACCGAAGCTCCGATCTCCGAGTAGATGGCTGGCTGATTGTCTCCGCAAGTTGATCAGCGAACCTCATCCTTTGCTCCGTGATCGAAGCCTGCATCGCCACGAGAAATTTAGGGTTCGTCTCCGGGGTGTCGCTGGCATCTTCAACTAGCATTTCTCCCTTGAGCAGTGCATTCATGACCTCGTCCATTCTCCTCTCGGCGAGCAAAACGTCCAACGTGTTTGAGAATTCCATCAGCCATTCCTCTGTTTTGGAAAGCTCCATCTTGTCTATCTGAGAGAGATCCTCCTTTAGGGTTTGATCGGTGCCTACCCACAACGAATCGATGCGGACCTGCTCGTTCAATGCGTGAACCAGACCTCCCTGATTCGACAATAGATTCCTCATCGAGAGAAGCTGCCCTTCCAAATCCGTGATCTCTCTTGACGTGCTGTGTAGAAAGTGAACAGTACCCAATATGTTAACAAATAATATATAATTCAATTTCACAATGGAAGTGGAAAAAGGGAATGGTGATAAATGTAGACCGGATGAAGGCGGCGTAATTGGCGTAAACGCTCTTCCGCATCTCCTCGGCGGAGGCTTTCTTGAGCTCTATAAGATAGGAACAGAGGTGACGAATTTCCTGGAAATATATAAGATCTGATTATCAAACATCCTTCATTAGAGAGATATTATTGGGGAAAGTATAAAGAAACAATGGCAGAAGAGAAGGGTTCATCAACCTTCTCATTCATGGTCTGACATCGTGTGGTGAAATAAGCGTCAGGATCGAAGCTGGAACTCTTGAACGCTTTGAGGCGGTCTTTGAGTGGAAGGTTCTCTTCCAATTCTGCCGAGTCACCTATGCTCATCTCTCTCTTTGCTTCTTTCTTCATTTCGCACCAGTGACTGCGGAAGATTTCCTGTTGCTGGAATGGAATGGAATGAGATGGATTTGCTTTTCTCCTCTGTTTTTTTTTTTTTTTTGGTTGTTTGAGCGTTAATGACTTTGGTCCTTTGTTGTTTTTTTTTTCCCTGAGAAAATGATTAGCGTGGTTTAGGGTGGGATGGGAAATTGTGAATCTACAGTTCGGTCACAGGGATTATGGCGATGTAAATCATAAGATGATTATGATGATTTCGCAACTTCTGTAGATTAATTTTTGGTAATGATTCTTGCAAGTCCGGGATGAAAACTAAAAAAGCTAATTAATTGCCGGGCGTTTTGCGAAGTATTTCTATAAGATGAATTAATCAATTAGTGTTAAAAAATATCTTAATTTGTGGAGTATTTTGTTAGAGATTTATAAATTTTTATAAGATGTTAATCTTTGGGATACTAAAGTGATTTTGGATTGAATAGTTAAGTTAATTCAGCTTATCCTCTTTTAGGTTGGACTAAACTCCTTTATGATGTTAAGTGTAAGTTTTCCGTGGCTACCATCCTCAAACGAATGGTCAAGCCAAGTTAACGTACCGGGAATTAAAAAGGGTCATCAATCCCGCAAGGATTGATCTACCAAGCTCAAGGATGCTCTGTGGGTGTATAGGACACCTTAATTTGCTAAACCTTGATCTGAGTCTTGCAAGTACCGAAAGGAAAATGCAGCTGGTGGAGTTGGAAGAATGGCGTTATCACGCCTATGAGAACACCTGACTGTATAAGAAAAGGACCAAGCGTCTCCACGACGCTCGTCTAAAAGGGCCCAAAGAGTTTTAGGTGGGCGAACGAGTTCTCCTATACAACTCTCGCTTGAATCCTTTTCCGGGTAAGCTGCGCTCCAAATGGTCCGGACCATTCACGGTACCCAAGTGTTTCCCTATGGCACCATCAAGATCACCATTCAAAATAATAGAAAATTAATTAATTATTATTGGCGGCAAAACTTGGCTGCATCCATCTTATTTTCAATTGGAAAATAATATTTTTGTTGCCTCCTTCGCAAAACCATACCAAACACACGTGTCCCATCGTGCGTTCCAAATTGTTAAGGTGGAAAATAAGTGGATCGGTTGCGCCTGACTTCTATGAAAGTGACGATTGTTACTATGGTCCATACATCTTTAAACACTATTTGAACGAGGGGTTTTGTTGCATAAGATATCTAAGTTACATTACACTACTCCTATGGAGATTCCTTGAGAGCTCCGCCACTACAACTAAGACTACGACTATGGAGGATTCTTCGTGGAGGAGAACTCCATATCCTACATAGTAAAGGAAAAAAGGACAACTGAGACAAATTGTCTATGTGTTGTCTCGTTTCCTCCAGAAGGTTGCTTCAAGTTTTGTTGCTCATATTCGTCCAACTATTCTATGTCTCCTCTCGAAAAGTAGCTCTATAGTATCTAAACTAGTCAGTTGTCGCCAATGTAAGTCTTTGAACATGTGACGAAGTGCTAGCAACCATCCACCATAACCTCATGTTAGATCGGAGGGCAAGGTTGTCAAACCGGTTTATGTCAGTGTGCCGGTTTAGCAAGTGGAATGGTTCAACCGTTGGCACATACCGGTTTGTGCCGGTTTATGCCGATCAATATTACAAATAAAATTATAAATGCTCATATTTAAACATTACATTTAACATCAATACCTAAACATTTATACTTGAATCCAACAAATAACATCAATATTGAACTTTTATACTCATAAAATAAATAATAAAATAATTTTTATCAATTAAATTCACTAAAAAAGGTCATTTCACTTAGAGATTCGTATATCGATCATGCCGGTCATACCGGTGGTGTCACGCCGATTTTATAACCGGTACCGGTTAAACCCGGTACAACCGGTGGCACGCCTGCCGGCGTGACAACCATGTTGGAGGGTAACCATAAGAATGGATAGTCACCGTACTTCAACCTAAATGGTACCATCCAGATGGTATCCATGATATGCGATGATTCCATCCACTAAAATTTAGGATGATATCCATGATGTCAGATGGTCACCATTCATTAAGGGGTTGGATAGGACTCATGCTACTTGGGATGGTACCATTCACCATAGAGTTGGGATGGTACGATTCATTATTGGGTTGGATGGTAACAAAAACCATGTGGGATGACTACCTTACAATCAGCTACTACCTGTCACACATATCACCCAACCAAATAATTTGGATCCTCCCATATATATGGGCCAACTCCTCAAAGTAGCCCAATCATGCACAATAATCCATGTGGTAATTAATAAAATTTATTTTGGTTTAAACACCGAAACTATATTTATAGAAAAGAAAAATAAAGTTACTCAGTTTTCACTGAAAAAGGAAAGAGTCCAGCAAGTAACCAGTTTTCACGGGCGATATCACATTTGACGCCCTTTTTCGACCCATCCGCTCCGGCTACCAATTATTTCTTTTAACAATTATCATTATTACAAAAAAAAGTATTTTAAAATGAATTGGCTAGCAACCCATGACTCTAGCCTGGAGCTGAGTCTTTGCCTTCTCCGCCACGACCCCGTCGTTCCCGGCTAGCGCTCTGTACTTATCCTTCCTCGTGAAGCTCGTACACTCATACGACAGTGTGGCGGCGATCACCCTCTGTATGTAATTCGCCACCTCATGACTCGATTTCCCGCCCGACCCGCACGTAAGCTCCAGCGGTAGCTTGCTCAGAAACGTCACCTCGTAGGCCGGGCTCGGGTTCATGAAGAAGTAGAAAGGGTCCATCCCTTTCCAACCCCGGGCCGTGGTCCCGTGGAACATGCTCATCCGGTTGACCATGGCCACGGGGACGATGTGGTCCGTCAGCTCCGCGAAAAGCGCGGAGAATCGCAGCAGGAACGGTTCCCGACACGTGGTCCCCTCGGGGCAAATCACTAGGTCTCCTTCCTCGAGGAGCTTCCTAATCATGGCGGCGTCGGCGACACGGTCGCGGTTGAGGCGAACGGTCTTGATAGGGGAGATGAACTCGGAGAGGCGGGAGACGGAGTACACGACAGCCGGGATGGGGCGGCCGAGGGCGGTGGAGAGGAAGATCGGGTCGAGGAGGGTGCGGTGGGAGCAGACGAAGAGAACCCCCGACTTGCCGGAGGATTTTTGTGGTGGTGGTGGGGGCTGGCCGCGGACGATGACGCGGACGCCGAGGGCGGTGAATGCGTAGTAGACTAGGGGCATCGGAAGGAGGGAGCCGGCGGCGATGCGGAGGCATGCGAGGAGGAAGCCAATCGGGATCCAGAGGATGGTGAGCAGGGCGATCAGTGGGGTCGGCTTCGGGACCAGGCGGCCGTCGTGGAAGACGATCGGTTTCGGGAGCTTGTCGGCAGAGACGGGTCGGACTTCCGGGTTTGGTGGGACCATGAACCCTTCCTGCAGAGGAAATCCATATTAGTATAGTACGATTTATTAGCTGACCGTTGCTTAACCTCGTATAAAAGTCAATACTAGAGTACACAATTTGTGAGTGAAAACACCCACGTAAACCAAACGAAAGGGAGTGAGCACGTACTAGTAAGATAATCGACATACTTATTACCCGTCTAGCAAAATTTAATCGTGTGGACATTGAATTCGAAAATCGAATGAAGTTAGGTGGAACTAACTTATGCAAGTCACTCAAATAGCGCAAGTACATGCATATATTTTCTAACTAAACATGAGTTAGATAAGCGATATACTTAATCTTTCAATTAATTAGACTCAATTATTCCATATATTATTTCTATTTTCTCTTTAAACACTTTCTATATATTATATAAAGATGGGCTGACATATCTCGACTCATATTTACACAGATAACATGTCCCGGCCCACGCTTGACGCGTAGTGAACACAAGTACTGAAGTACCACACGCCGCATTGCCATCACAACATTACTAATCATATATCATCTAAGACTAAACATAAATAAATATGTAACTATAAATTTCACTACTAAATAGCATGCATGTGGTTATAAAATCTTCGCCGTTGCGTCCACGAAATGCTTGGCACTCTGTCATTTATTCATCCCCCAAAAGACCCATCAAGTTATGATATGAGATCAATACATACATACACACACGTGTTATGATATGAGATCAAATATGGAAGGAAAACCATATGGTAGTCCGCCTGTATTAAATCGTGAGGATTTTGTAGAGAAGTACAATCCAAAAAATGTTGTTAGAAGTTAGAGAGTTAATAAAAAGCAGTAAATTAAACCAACGATTCACTGAATTACAAGAGAGAGAGAGAGAGAGAGAGAGACGAGTTGTAAATTACGGCCCATGCAAAAGTCAAAAGGAACACACACACGCGACGCAAGAGAAACCGCAAACCTTGCAAAGCGCCATAAACGGCTCGTCGGTATGCCGGTCGCCGAGCCCAACCTCCGGCTGGCAGTCCTCCCCAAGCGCCTCCCTGAGCGCGTGCGCCTTGCTCTCCCCGACCAGCACCCCTTCCTTGCCCTTCACGAACCCGGTGGCCCGGCCCCGAAACGTGGCGATCTCGGTCCCCAAGACGAGGTCGGCCCCCAGGAAGTCCCGGAGCGTGGCCTCGACCATGATCCGCGGGTTGGCGGTGAGGACGACGCGCCTTCCGCACGCGCCGAAGACCCGCCAAGACTCCGGGTGGAGGTCGGAGGTGTAGAACTTGGGGAGGACGGCGCGTGCGACGGACTCGATGTCGGCGACCCTCATCCCGGCGAAGGCGGAGAAGATGAGGACCTGGATGCCGGCCCGCTCGGAGACGAGGTAGTAGAGGATGGCGGCGAGCGGGGAGGCGAGGAGGAGGAGGAGGAGGCGGAGGACGCCGCCGGCCTCGAAGGCCACGAGGGCGAAGTAGGGGAAGGAGCTCCGGCCGATGAGGAGGGTCCCGTCCATGTCGGCCACCACCGTGTGCTTCTCCCGCCCCGTGGAGTCGCATCTGTCCACCGTGGAGAATTTCGCCGCCATGGTTTGGTATTTGGGTTTGGGTTGGGTGAGGGAATTGGTGGGCGTTTTGGGGGGGACGGAGGAATTTATAGAATGAGAGGGGGAGGGGAATTGAATGTTGCATGGCGAATGACGACAGAAGTGGTGAATTAGTAGGCTTAATTAGCGGATTTCACGACAGGGTTTTTTTTCTTCTGTTGTTTAGGGTGGAGGGAGGATGGAGATCTAGATACGGGGGAACCGAGGAATTGGAGAGAATTTTTGTTGGGGGGAGGTAATTAAGAAATTTAACATAATTGTAGTCGTCGTCATATTAAAGACATATGAGAAGAGACTTGGGATCTATCGACATTCGACGCCGCATTATTTGTCACCTGCGGGCGGGTTTTTGGCTTTGGGAAGAATTTGGAATTCATGTTCTTTGGACAACTAGCCAAGTACTACTGTATATACAAGAAAGAAGTACAGGTTATTCTCTCGTATAGCTCTATGCTCTTTGGACAGCGGCCACCATCTATAGTTGGCAATGGGTCGACTCGATGAATATTTTGAATACATTAAGGAACTAGTTAGTGACAAAATGTCTCGATTAGGTTTTAGGCACAACATTAGGCGTTCATAACACCTAAGTAGCAACCTAGGTGGAGCTATATGTATGATTTACTCGATGCGAGACATGATTTTATCGAAGTGACGCACACTTAAGCGTGTAGCAAGACAGAACAAGGATTATAATAATTTTGTCGTGCTGGTCTTTCCAAAATGACGTCATGTCCAGCTACCCTATATTCGCGACTCGATTCGGCCCCCCATTGTCGACTTAGATCATCCACAATCTACGACTTCTATAAACTTGTGATTCTAGGAAATCTTGACATGTTCTCCTTGTTGTTGAGGGTTAATTAAGTTATTAATCATTTGAAATCGAACTAAAAGAAAAAATGATATAAAACTTTTATTACCATTGAAAATCTCTATTTTTGCTAAATCTCCTAAGAATCACTTAGCGTCACTTAGCGTGCTGCTAGGCACTAAGCAAAGCCCTAACACCTGTATAATGCCTTCTTGAAACTTGCCAAATATATCATAAAACATGTGGTGTTTGGGTTTGGCCCCAAATGGACCAAAACCTTTTTCCTTTATTATAATTTTTTTTTATTTGGGTTGGGTCTAATTTTGGGCCAATCCATTTGGGTTAACCACAACGAGTCCATATGGAAATATAGACACAAATATAACATTTCCACCAATTTCTCTGTCAAGTTAGATTCTGTGCATAGCTTCTTTTGCTAATCACTCTCCAATCTCCAAATGATGGCGGTTTCTGTGAAGTCATTGTTCATTGCCATTTACACTCTGTCCCTCTCCGCTACCATCATTTTGTTCTGATCTCCTTCCCTTATTCCCCGCCATTTCAGTTTCCACCGACTTCCCTAATAACATTCATAACGAAGGATCCTATGGAAAGAGGGTAAGCAGAACTGCTGACAGAAATTCAAGCTGGAAGTATGCCATGGATGTTATTAGCTTATTCAAGCCTCACTCGACTCTATGACGCCATTCGTAGTTAACATTTAGTAAGAAAACCTTTAGCGTTGTCGTATACGACTTCCTTACTAAGCTTTCAGTCAAGTAATCCCTTGCTTCTTATTAGTGTAAAAACTGTCCCTTCACTCTCTGTAAGGAATAGAAGAGTTGACCTAAAGGTTGTTAGTTAGAAACTATTAGTTTCTTTCTCCCCTAGCGGAGCATCAACTATGAAAAACATGCTCAGGCCCAGAAGACACAACACAGATTGACCCGTTCGGCCATAAGTACCTCCATATTCGGCTGAGTGGGGTTTGACAATGGATTTGAGTCAATGATTGGAAAACTTCCTTTTCTCGATCTTGATTCGCATAGAAATTAAGGAATTTCGGAACTATGGTCTTAGCCGAACAGACGAGATCTGAATTCACACCAGTCTGCTAGAATTACTTAACATAGATCTCTATGATTGGATTAGGTACCATCTGAACAGGCTTGGCAAAACCCTTGTATAGCTTCTTCAATTTCTCGATAAAGATAAATATGACCAATAGTGGTTCGAATGTATATACAAAGACTTTTTTTTTTACTTCCTACTATTAGATAGTGCCCATAAATATAATAAAAAGTACCCAAAGATTCATAGTGAACTTCGATAGGATATTTATATGAAACAATAACGCGTTGATCTAGTTGCCACCGGAGCCACAAAGGACTATCTAGTTTTTTTTTGTCTGCCGATAAGCTCCAATTGCATCATAGGAATTACAAAACAAGGGTTCCTTTGTATACTTATTGTTATTCGCGAGAATTCGTTCATATATAAGTAAAGTTTTTTTTTCTTTCAGAAGGTCTATATATAAGAATTCGGGGATGATGGCTCCTCTCTTAAGTTTCTCCTTTTTTGTTTTGTATTTTGTTTACCCAGAAATTTGTAGATCCAATAGATAATGAACTCGTTCCTTCTGTGCAAAAAATTTAAAAAATGACTTAAAAACGAAAAATATATCAGATGGTATGCAGTTGGTAACGAGAGGTATGAAATTTTTTTCCTCAAACAATATTGAAAATGGATCTCATTTTGTAGAGCACAACGAACTTGTTCCATCTGTGCAAAAAAAAAATTGAATTCCGAGTTAAAACGAAAAAGATATGAGCCAATTAAGAAAACAATGGAAAAATAAAATCACTTTAATTCTCTACCCTTAGATATGGATTTTCTGAACACACTTAAAAGCAAGGGTCCAGATTTAATTACTAATGGGTGCATTATGCACCCTATCTGGAGCGGCTCAAGATAGGGTGCATAACCATGGGTTATGCATCCATCAATAACCAAATCTGGACCCTTCATTTAGAAAATCCAGATCTAAGGATGGAGAATTAAAGATCATTTTTATTTTCTCTAGCTTTCTTAATCGGTTCATATCTTTTTCGTTTTAACTCGGATTTTAATATTTTTTGCACAGGTGGAACGAGTTCATCGTCTACAAAATGAGATCAATTTTCAATATTTTTTTAGAATAAAAAATTCTGGCCTCTCGGTACCAACTGCATACCATATGGTATTTTCTTCATTTTTAATTCGTTTTTGAAAACGTTTGCACAGAAGGGACGAGTTCATCATGATATATTGGATCTACAAATTTCTGGGTGAACAAATTACAGGACCAAAAAATACCACACAATACCATACAATACCACCCTGGTACGGGGTGGTATTGTATGGTATCTTCTTCATTTTTAATTCATTTTTGAAAACGTTTGTACAGAAGGGACGAGTTCATCGTGATCTATTGGATCTACAAATTTATGGGTGAATAAATTACAGGACCAAAAAATACCACACAATACCATACAATACCACCCTGGTACGGGGTGGTATCTTGTGGTATACAATGTTAAAAATCGTAAATGACAATTAATATATTTCTACTGTCATGTATTCAACCATCCTACAGTCTTGGTTTGTTCATACCACCATGGTACTTTTTTCAAACCATAGGTATGCTTTTATTTCAATACTAGTCAATACCATATGGTATAGACTGGTAAAAAATGGCTCAATTTTTTTGTTCGAAAAATAAATTAAAGTGGATATCATTTTGAAGAGCACAATTAATCTGATCTAACTGTACAAAAAAAATTAATTTTCGACTTAAAATGAGTGAGAAATCGTCCGTCAAAGATTAAAGAGGGAAAAATTAAAGGCTTTCCAGGAGAGAGAGGATGCTGATGTCATGCTGATGTGGACGGGTTACTCATGTTTACTCACCACAAAGTTACTCACCGGATCTGCTCCCATCTCGAGCACCTCACCTCTGCCTATCAATTAGGGATGACAACAAAACCCGAACCCACGGGTACCCATCCGACCCAACCCGGTCAACGTGGGTAAAATCCGTGTTGACGGGTTTTGGACCGGGTTCGGGTTTAAACCCGCTACACTATTCACCGGGTTGGGTTGAGTTTGGGTTTAGGTAAACCCAACCCATGGGTACCCGCCCACACACATATAATTACTTTCCCGATATATTTAATATTCTAAATAATATATTTTCCTTAAAAAATTAATATTCTTTATGTTTGTGGAGACATGTATAATTTGTTCTTTCTAATTGTTTAGAATGAAGTTGATATTATGAAGTGGAGAGTGAATAAACTTAGTTGACGAGGAAGAAGCTTTCAATTAATCTTTTGTTTATAGATGTTTATCTTTAACTTTGAACAATTTGTATTGATCATTTGCGGTTTGCTTGTATGCTCTAGATTGGTGTTTTTTGTATGATTAATTTGTATGAGAAAATTGATGTTAAACTTTTATTTTGAAAGAAACTTGTTATTGTAAATTTTTTACCACAAAAACCCACGGGTACCCATGAACCCGCGGATACCCAGCAGCGGGTTGGGTTGAGTTTGAGTTTTTCAAACCCAACGGGTTTTACCCCGGGTTTTTTTGGCGGATAAACCCATGGGTTTGAGTTTGGGTTTGACAAAACCCACCCCAACCCGACCCATTGCCATCCCTACTATCAATCCATGTACGATTGATGGGTATTCTGACTATTCTCTGAACCCATTTGTAATAAAAGGCATTTGATAATGCACGTAGCACGTTTGGTCGTCGAACTAATAGATGCTTAAAGGAGGGAGCAACAATGAGAGAGAGTTTTTCTAGTGAGAGAGTGAGAGCGAGTAGGAGGGAGTCCAAAAGTTTTTTGTTTTGCAGGTCTGAAGCGGCAGGATGCGACGGCGGCAGTAATCCGAAGGTTAGTTGCGAACAGCAAGTGAAGATCGATTCGAAGATCATCACAATCTCCAGAATAAGCAGAAATACTAAAGAAGTGTTCTACCGCTTTCAAGCCCAAGAAGCTCAGAGAAGATGGTTTATTTTCTAGATGAACCTCAGATCACCTGGCTCCAAGGTCTCCTTCAATCGGCTGCCATGAGAGATTGGAATTTCCCTAATCATTGTCTGATGAAAAGTAATGGGTGTATCATCCACGTTGGGAAGACTTTCTTTAGGAAAACT